TAGAATCCTGTTCTGTACAATTGAGCCAATTTTCATGCTTGTAGTTTTAAGTGCATGATGAATTCACCATACTGCTGCTGTGAGTGGCCTGTTTTTCTTATTTTTGGAGGCCATTTTGGATTTCTATACACTTAAAGAATCAAATATTGATACTTCATGCATATTATAGTCTTGTCTAACCATAAAATGTTATCTTAAGTTATTATAGGATTATATATACTTGAAGTTTTAATTTGAACGGGTATTTGTGTCGGCTATATTGGATTTGGGGGCCATATATTGAAATTTTTAGACATGCTCATACGTCCAAAAGTGCTTGGAATCCTGTTTTACAACTGTACCAAATGCCATGCTTGTAGTTTTTGATGAATTAACCACTCTGCTGGATTAGTAGAGTGCTTTTTACTATTGGCGGCCATTTTGGATTTAATACACCTAAAAAGCAAATATTGATTCTGAATTCATACCGTGGTGTTTTTTAACCTTTGTATGATATTTACGTCCATGAAAGACTATATACTTGAAGTTTTAATTAGAAGCCGTATTTATGGAGGCCATCTTGGATTTGAAGGCCATTTTTAAATTTTCGGATATGCCCATACATCCAAACTTGCTCAGAATTTCATTTTCCACAAACCTGCCAAATTTTATGCTTGTAGTTTTAAGTGCTTGATGAATTCCCCATTCAAATGGATATCTTGAATAAATGGTCTACTTTTTTTACTTTTGGCGGCCATTTTGGATTTAATACACCTGAATGATTCATACCATGGTGTTTTCTAACCTTTATATGATATTTTAAGTCATTAGAAGACTATGTACTTGAAGTTTTAATTTGAAAAGGTATTTTGGTGGCCATATTGGATTTGACGGCCATTTTGGAATTTTCAGACATGCCCATATATCCAAATTTGCTTAGAATTTTATTGTCGATAAGTGTGCCAAATTTCATGCTTGTAGGTAAAAAATGCACAATTTTTCGAAAAAGCTGTCTCCAAAGTGAAAGAAGGCAAGATGTAGTGCGATATTGCGCACTTTGTACGTTTTAGTAGAGAGTTTTAAACAATAAAACTTAAAGTTCTGATTTAATTAGGCGGTGATAATTTGCTCTATTAAGTTTTACGGATATTTATTAAAAGACATGTAGTGGTTTGTGTCTATAGCAAACGGCCATTTTGAAATGGCGAAATTTTGATTAATTCAAACGTCTTGTCTACAAAGACAGGCTATATTATCAAATCCTTTAACAAGTCAATAATTTGATGAATGCGTTGCATATCTCAAAGCCTGTGAAACGAGGACATTTTCTGACCAGAGAAGATACCCTTATCATTGATCGCGGCGTCGCTTATAAATCCCAAATGTCTTAAACAGCCCCATGCAACTTAGTGTTCAGGAAATAATAAAGCTCACTGTATCAAAGCGTACCTGTAACTAATGACCCGATCAAAAATAATGCGTACTCTATAGTTGACAAAAATCTCCTGTCCGCTGATAAAAACAATTCCACAATATCACTGGGTTCTTACAAATATTAACAGTTTATTTGTACTGTTTATTACAGTTTATTACAGTTTATTCAATTTAACGGTTTAACAATTAAAGTTAACCTACCTGACCAGTAGATAGTTGTGTAAGTTTCCAAAGAGTAATTGGAATAATTCGCGGTAGGTACGGGTGAATGGACGTGTCCGAGATCGGTGGTTGTGAAATAACTGTCAGTGGTAGTTTCACTACTCGACCATGTTGACAACGTCGTAATGTTGCCTACTAGGGTCCCGTTGGTTGCATTCGCCATGATGCAGGGAAGGTATGCAAGAGCGCAGAGTCGGGTTTTGTCACAAAGGGCCCTAGATAACGGAAAGGTAGACGCAGATCCTCCGCTTTACAGGGTTTACTAGCTTCGTGTTGGCAAGGTGACACCCCAATGCAGCTGAATTGGGACTGTCAAAATTAATAGCGTCACGACTGCAGCTATCGAGGATGATCACAGCGCGTAGGTAAAGTCAACATGTTTTCGTATCTAGTTTCCTTGGCTAGCTTGATTAACGTGTTTTCTTGGGTCACAGTTATCTCGCCGCATGATAACGTTTTTGATTTCGTAAAATGCTACGTCGTTCTTAACTTCAGTAAATAACCTCTTTTCTCTTTTGGATTTGTGTTCAGTGTTTTGGCACACCTTCTAAAAACTTTTACTGGTCATATTCTTTCCGAATTATGTTAGTAATAAGCTCTTTTTCTTTTCAGTCATTTGAAATACATCGATCTGTATGGTTACCAGGGGCGGCATCCCCAGAAATGTACTGCATGACGTCACGCCAAGCCCACTACGCATGCGTGCATTTTTAATGAGTTGCTAGATTGCCATAGGAAAATGAATGGGTTCGCGATTCGTGGGTAATTCGTGAGAATTGACAAACTAACGGCCTGATGCCGATAGACAGCAACGCTGTGCTATGCTTCAAGCAACTCCTGACCAAATATCGCTAGGGTTTTTAAAAAAATTCTGTTGTACACACGTACTAAGAAGTTTGCCGTATATTGCCTAGACTACCCTCAGCAAAACGCAAATATTTTCAGTAATAGTGATTTTAGACGGTAGATTCACTCAGAAACAAAGGGAAATTAATTCGTTGCCGATAGCACCAGCTGATAGCAGTAACATACTAGCCAGTACGGAGTCTGATAAAAAAATTTCATGGCAATTGAAGATTTTTTACCACTGTACAATGGAGTCCAAAAAGAGCACTTGGCACAAACGTAAAACTGCCCAGTGCAAGGTCAAGAATTCAATCAGTATTTTATCAGATTATCAGATTCTACAGTAATTGACTGACCATATCACTACTCAGTATTTAACTAATCTCTTAATCCAAAATTCCTATCATCATTTAATAATTATGCAAAATTCTTCTTTCAGATTGCTATTTATTTAAATTGTTAATGCTGCAACTGTTCCAAAATAATCTTGTAGTAAAGGAAAAATGCAAATAAGAAGTGGAAGACCAATTTTACCCACAGTATTTAATTATTTGAATATAAAAAGAATAAGATCACGATTTAACAAATTAAAATAATCTTTCATGAACTCTTTCATGAATAACATATT